AGAAATCCTTTTACTTTTCCAGCGCCCTGTCCCACCATCACCCCTTGGTGCCTCCGGTGGCCTTCCTCCCCCTTCCTCCTCCTCCTCTTCCTCCTTCTTCCCCTCCTCCTCCTCCTCCTCTTCCTCCTCCTCATGGTCACTTCAAGAGGAACTGATGGGTTTGGGTCAAGAAATCCTTTTACTTTTCCAGCGCCCTGGAAGGTGTCACTGGGGGTGACACCTTCGTGCCTCTGGTGACCTTCCTCCCCCCTTCCTCCTCCTCCTCTTCCTCCTCCTCCTCCTCCTCACAAGAAATCCTTTTACTTTTCCAGCGCCCTGGAAGATGTCACTGGGGGTGACACCTTCGTGCCTCTGGTGACCTTCCTCCCCCCTTCCTCCTCCTCCTCCTCCTCCTCCTTCCCCTCCTCCTCCTCCTCCTCTTCCTCCTCCTCATGGTCACTTCAATCCAAGAGGAACTGATGGGTTTGGGTCAAGAAATCCTTTTACTTTTCCAGCGCCCTGGAAGATGTCACTGGGGGTGACACCTTCGTGCCTCTGGTGACCTTCCTCCCCCCTTCCTCCTCCTCCTCCTCCTCCTCCTCCCGGCCCCCGCCGCGCAAGGTGTGGATGAGCTTGGCCCAGAAGAGGGGTCTCTCCTGGGGGTGCTGTGGCCAGCGGAGGTGGGTGCGTCGCAGGAGGACGCGGCGCGCGCGGTGGAAGAGGCTGAGCTCGGCCTCGGGCAGGGGCTCCAGGAAGACCAGGACCAGGACGTCCCTGAGCTCCTCGAAGAGGCGGTAGGTGGCCAACTGCATCTCCAGGGAGCACCACTCGCTGCGCAGGAAGCCCCTGCTCACCACGCACACCGTCTTGCGGCTGTTGTAGATGGCGTCCACGATGTTGTCCACGATGGCCCTGCCCGGCCGGAAATCCCGGTGGTGGAGACAAAGGCGTAAAGAACCTTCTCCTTCCAGTTGAGGGACAAGTTCCCCCAAGACCCAACCTTCGTCGGCCGAGTTGTAGGAGACGAAGGTGTCGTAGAGGAAGCGGCGGCGCTCGGGGCGCCAGCGGCCGTTGGCCCAGGCCCGCAGGAGGTAGAGGTGGTAGCGCAGGCGCCAGTAGCCCCGGTGGTAGAGCAGGGGCAGGGCCAGCGCCAGGGCCACCAGCGGGGAGGTGGCGGAGAAGAGGTAGAGGCCCAGGTCCAGGAAGCAAACGCGGGTGTCGAAGTTGTGCAGGTAGGAGGGGGGGCTGCGGTCGCCACCGTTGGGGTCATCACAGCCATCGCCATCATCACCATCGTCATCATCATCACCATCATGACATCTACATCCACCGTTGGGGTCATCACAGCCATCAACATCATCACCATCGGCACCATCATCACCATCATGACATCTACATCCACCGTTGGGGTCATCACAGCCATCAACATCATCACTATCATCACCATCAGCATCATCATGACATCTACATCCACCATTGGGGTCATCACAGCCATCAACATCATCACCATCGGCACCATCGTCACCATCATCACCTCTACATCCACCTTTGGGGTCACCACAGCCATCAACATCATCACCATCGTCATCATCATCACCATCATGACATCTACATCCACCATTGGGGCCACCACAGCCATCAGCATCATCACCATCAGCATCATCATCACCATCAGCACCTCTACCACCTCCACATCCACCATCGGGGTCACCACAGCCATCGCCATCATCACCATTGACACCATCATCACCTCTATGTTCACCACCACCATCGACATCATCACCATCGTCACCATCATCACCTCTACATCCACCATTGGGGCCACCACAGCCATCAACATCATCACCATCAGCATCATCATCACCATCAGCACCATCATCATCTCTACATCCACCGTTGGGGCCACCACAGCCATCGCCATCATCACCATCATCACCTCTATGTCCACCACCATCATCATCACCACCTCCACCCCCTCCACGTCCACCACTGGGGCCACCACTGGCAGCACCGTCACCACCAGCATCCCCTCCACCACGTCCACCACCAACGCCACCTTCTCCACCACCACGACCACCTCTACCATGACCGTTTCCACCACCTCCACCACCATCACCACCACCACCATTGCAACCACCTCCACCACCAGTTCCACCATCACCACCACCTCCACTGTGACGTCCACCAGCAGTTCCACCACCACCACCACCTCCACCTCCACCACCATCACCACCACCACCATTGCAACCACCTCCACCACCAGTTCCACCATCACCACCACCTCCACTGTGACGTCCACCAGCAGTTCCACCACCACCACCACCTCCACCTCCACCACCATCTTCATCGCCTCCACCACC